TGCAACCTCTGTCTCCTTGGTTCAAACAATTCTCCTTGGCCTCCCAAAATGCTGGGATTACAGGCATGAGCCACCGCACCAGGCCCCAATGTGTAGTCTTTTATCCCTCACCTTCCTCCCACCCTTCTCCCCAAGTCCCCAAAGTTCATTGTATCATTCTTATGCCTTTGCGTCCTCATAGATTAGCTCCCACTTATAAGTGGAAACATACGATATTTGTTTTTCCAGTCCTGAGTTACTTCACTTAGAATAATGGTCTCCAATTCCATCTGTGTTGCTGCAAATGCCATTGTTTCGTTCCTTTTTGTGGCTGAGTGGTATTCCATGGTGTATATACACCATGTTTTCTTTATCTACCTGTTGATGGGCATTTAGGCTGGTTCCATGTTTTTGCAATTGTGAATTGTGCCGCTATAAACATGCGTGTGTAAGTGTCTTTTTCATATAATGATTTCTTTTCCTCTGGATAGACACCCACTAGTGGGATTGCTGGATCAAATGGTAGTTTGACGTTTCGTTCTTTAAGGAATCTCCACACTGTTTCCCATAGTTGTTGTGCTAGTTTACATTCCCACCAGCAGTGTAAAAGTGTTCCCTTTTCACCACATCCATGCCAACATCTATTATTTTTGATTTTTTGATTATGGCCATTCTTGCAGGAATAAGGTGGTATTGCATTGTGGTTTTGATTTGCATTTCCCTGATCATTAGTGATGTTGAGCATTTTTTTCATGTGTTTGTTGGCCATTTGTATATCTTCTTTTGAGAATTGTCTATTCATGTCCTTACCCCACTTTTTGATGGGATTGTTTGTTCTTTTCTTGCTGATTTGTTTGAGTTCCTTGTAGATTCTGGATATTAATCTTTTGTTCGATGCATAGCTGTGAATATTTTCTCCCACTCTATGGATTCTTTCCACTCTGTGGATTGTCTGTTTACCCTGCTGATTATTTCTTTTGCTGTGCAGAAGCTTTTTAGTTTAATTAAGTCCCGTCTACTTATCTTTGTTTTTGTTGCATTTGTTTTTGGGTTCTTGGTCATGAAATCTTTGCTTAAGCCAATATCTAGAAGAGTTTTTCTGACGTTATCTTCTAGATTTTTTATGGTTTCAGGTCTTAGATTTAAGTCTTTGATCCATTTTGAGTTGATTTTTTATAAGGTGAGAAGTGAGAATCCAATTTCATTCTTCTACATGTGGCTAGCCAATTATCCCAGCACCATTTGTTGAATAGGGTGTCGTTTTCCCACTTTGTTTTTTTTGCTTTGTTGAAGATCAGTTGGCTGTAAGAATTTGGCTTTATTTCTTGGTTCTCTATTCTGTACCATTGGTCTGTGTCCTTATTTTATACCAGTACCATGCTGTTTTGCTAACTATAGCTCTGAAGTATAGTTTGAAGTTGGGTAATGTGATGCCTCCAGATTTGTTCTTTTTGCTTAGTCTTACTTTGGCTATGTGGACTTGCCCCCTTATTAATGAGTTAAAAAAGTCTTTGACACATGTTCATCCTGTATTTATTTAGTTTTATTTTTTATTTATGTATTTAGAGACAGGGTCTCGCTCTATCTCCCAGGTTGGAGTACAGTGGTGCCGTCATAGCTCACTGCAGTGTCGAACTCCTGGGCTAAAGTGATCCTTCTGCCTTAGCCTCCCTAGTAGATAGAACCATATGCATGTTCCACCACACCTGGCTGAATTTTTAATTTTATGTAGAGATGAGGTCTTGCTGTGTTGCCCAGGCTGGTCTGAAACTCCTGTCTTCAAGCAATCATCCCTCCTGAGCCTCCCAAAGTGCTGGGATTATAGGTGTGGGCCACTGTGCCTGGCACACATTCTGTATTTATATGAGCTGTACTTTAAACTTTGAAAATTAGGCTTTGAGAGTGATAGTGGGTATGTATTTTTTCTAAGTTAAAAATGATAAACTACTGCATGAAAAACAAACTTTGATGTGTTGTCTTATAGTGTGTAAAGTGCTTTCTCATATGTGATCCTATTTTGACGTTGAATCTTAAGGTTGCTCTGTGAGCAAGTAGAGCAGGTGGGGTTAGTCCCATGTAGTTGCTAAGGGAACTTGGAACCAGACTGAGAAGAGAGGTGTCTTATCCCCAGGTCTCCCATGCCCAGTGACAGAACCATGCCATTCGCAGGGACTCCCCCTCTGGTCTCTGTCTATGCTGGTGAAATCTGGTTAAAACCAACATTAGGAACAGCCCCAAATGGCAAGACACAATGAGCTGGAGGCAGGTGGATTGGAGATGTTGAGATGGAGTGGGCCACTCTGGTGACTCTTCTCATGTGGACTCTTCTCATAGAGCAGTAGTTGGTGGCCCCCAACCTCCCCAACCCCACCAGCAGCAGCTCACTTTTCAGGGGCAAGGGCTCCCCATCCTGAGCCCCCAGACCGCTAGGGGCCATCTTTCAGTATAGTTAATAGGGGGCCCAGAGCGATTAGCAGTATTTCAGAAAGCTTAAGGGAGATCATACATCTCCCCATGACAGGTCTGCCCAGACTAAATGAAATGTCGTTTCTCTCCTTTTTTGGCTGGGATTCTGTCAGCTCAGTCTGGCTGCGCTGCTTATCTTGGGCTGATCAGGAGCCCTGATTGGACCTTATTTGCGTCCTTGACAAATAAAAATGAATGATTACTTAATAAATGCAATTGGTTTGGCAGATACAGCCTTTCAGAGCATGGCTCCACGAAGCTCCGAAGAGCCCCATAGAAGAGATTCTTGGTGGCATTGAGACTTGGTGGCCCACCCAGGACCAGCCCTGGCCGGGGGCCCCCCTCCAAGGAAACAGACAGTGGTGGCCCTGGGGCATCTGGCATGTCAGCCTGAGTCTGAGAACTTGACCTGGGGCAAAGTCCTGCTCCTGATGCCGACAGACACTGAGTACTGGGAGTCTATTTCACCGCAGGAAAATTGCAGGAGCTGGAGGGCTGGCGTGGTAGCGGGCACAGTGTCTTACACGTCTTCACCTCTGAAAAACGTACAATGGAAGCTAGTCTGCTCACCTTCCAGGGGTGTTATGAGAAATTAGTAACGACAAGCACAGGGTCACTTATGAGAGTCACCAGGGCACGGCACCGTGGCATTCTCATTTACCTTCGCAGTGACCCTGGCTAGTGGGACTATTATTATTTCCATGTGACTGAAGCTGAGGGCATAAGCAACTGGTTAAGGTCACAAAGCTCAACTGAAAAATGCAGCAGTGGGTGCAAGCCAGCGTAGAATAGCAGTTACTAGAAGGCTGCGGGGTCAGCTGGTGTGAATCTTGGCTCGACCTTTCTCTAGCCATGAGTAAGTTAAACCTTGATGAATCAGCTTCTCATCTGCAAAATGAAGATCATAATTGTCCCTACCTTTGGGGGGCTAATAAGGATGTCAGCTGGTTGTTACTAAAGTAGGGTCATCAAGAATGATGCAATGGGCAAATTATAATTGATTGGGATTCAGAGGACATTAATGGGGTTAGAATAAGCATCGAGGCAGGAACAACAGCATCTTAGGAAAACAGAGATGAGGGTCTCACTTACGTTGAACGCAGAGTCATAGTCACATGTTTGCCACTGTTATAAGCAAGTGGATACATAATAGAGCCAGTCTGTGGTCCATAAATTATACCTCAATAAAGCTGTTTAACAAAGCACAGCAAGTGCCTACTATCTTGGGAGTTTATGATAGTGGGATAGATGGTCATTAATCAAATAATCACACAAATAGTGTGCTAGTGCCCTGAAAGAAAAGGGCTTTGAGAACGTATGACGAGAGAACCTCATCTTGCCTGGGACGTCAGGGAGGGCTTCCTCAGAGAGGCGATGCTGACCTGGGATGGGAAGGAAGAGAGGGGGTAAGTCAAGTGAAGGGGAGATGGCAGGAATGTTCCTGACAGCAGGAATAGCATGTGCAAAGGCCCTGAGGCCAGAAAGCACAGGGATCGTTGGGGAAGAGAAAGAGTGAATGTGGCTGGAATGTCTGTGTGGTGTGAGATGAGACCAGGCAGGAGGCAGGGCCTGGTCAGGTAGGACTTTGCAGGCTGGGGGACAGAGGAACATTTTTAAGATCCCAATCCTGTGTTCCCCACCCGTGGGCCCCAGCTTCTCTCCCCTCTGACCAGGTTAGGTTTGTTAATGACCATGGGGTCCAGCTGAGGCCAAGAGGGTTGCCTAGGGCAGCTTGTGTCCTGGGGTGTCAGCTTTCTGGGTCGAGCATCTCTTTGTCCCCTGGAAACCTGTCAACAGACCCTCTGTGGGTCCAGGTCTGGCTTTATTCAGCAGCTGTTCCTTAGCTGGGAAGAGGCTTTTAGCTTTAATAAAAAAGGGACTAGAGATAAGAAGACTGCCTCGTCAGGGAGAGCAGCAGTGACAGGATGATTTAAACGGCTTCTCTAGTGTCATTTCTTCTGTGCAGACATCATAAATCAGATTAGCACTGGGCTCTGGCAGGGAGGGGAGCAGGGAGAGGGGAGACGGGCCTGTGACTCTGGGTCCACCTGGCACAGGCCTGGGGCAGCCCCAGAGGAGGTGGTGGGGTGACCTGCTCCTGATCCTCAGCCCCCCGCCCTGTTCTTTGGAGAAGGGGTGAGTGGAATGGCTCCCCCAGCCCAGCTTTTCAGCCCATTCTCAGCTTTGGGGAGAAAATGGAGAAGGGCTGATAAAAGGGTATGGAGGAGAGAAATGGCGGACAAGTGGAAGGGCGGGTGCGGGAGGTGGAGAGTGTAGTTCTCCTACCTAATCATGTGTTCACATCACCTCGAACTTTAAAAATTACTGGTACCTTGTACCACCCACATGGTTTCATGATTCTAAGGTGCAGCTAAAGGTAAGAAGTCTTAAACTCAAAAAGTATGTCATCTCAGGCCATCACTCCCACCACAACCGCTCCAACCCACCGATTTTCTCTGGCCTCCCCTTAATGACCACATCGAGAGACCAGATAGAAGTCCCTGAGACAGATGTGAGTGGAGAGGAGCTCCCACCTGCCCCCGCTTCTCTTTCAGATCTCACGCCACCTGGGCAAGATGTATAGTGAGATGATCTTCGTCAATGGCTTCGTGCACTGCGATCCCCACCCCGGCAATGTACTGGTGCGGAAGCACCCTGGCACGGGAAAGGCGGAGATTGTCCTGTTGGACCATGGGCTTTACCAGGTAGAAGAGGCCTTTGTTACCCAGCCCCGGGACCTCTGGGTTTAGAGTCTGCTGACCACTCTAATTAGCTGCAGAACTGGGAGGGAGACAGCAAGAGTAGCTGGAAAGGGCCCTGCCCTCTCCCTTGGAGCTGTCATTTTGTGCAAGTCACTGTCACAGAGCTCTCAGAGCTTCAGCTTCCTCCTCATGAAGGTGAGGTTGATGGCACCCCCTTTACAGGCCGTTGTGAGGAGTAGGTGGAAATAGGCTTGTATGTTAGATTGTACTTTCCCATGGAGCCCCAGGCCAGCAAGGATCCTCAGCAGTGAGCTGTCCTCTGCATGAGCTGGGGCTTCATGGGGAAGGAGTTAATGTTTAGGCCTAGTGAGGACATACTACCTACTGGGAAAGGGGGCAGGCAGCTGATGGGGGCTGGAGGGCCTCAGACTGTGTCCTCAGGATACAGATCTGGTTCAAAGGAGCCATGAGCTCCTACTTGGAAGATGGGAAGTTCACTGCCAATCTGGGCCCCAGGGCCTGGCTTGGTCCCATGAGGCAGATGGTCCCGGGGTGGTTTTCCCCAGGGGATTCTGCTCCTTCTCTCAGGGACCTGATCCCACATCCCCAAATCTTGGCCTCTTCTGAAAGGCTTAACGAAGTAGAATGCATTAGTTTAGGGTAGGCTAGCTGTTTTCACATGTGGCCCCAAAATGAATGATGGCCCAGATACAACAGAAACTTAATTGCTTGCTCACATGCCAGTCCTGGATGGGTGAAGACTGCCGGGCTCTGACCCCCAAGCTTCACCAGAGGTGATGGTGCTGGCAGCTGGCGGCGGGGTGAGGGCTTGGAGGAGCAGGCGGGGAAAGTTTCTGTGGGCCGGGCCTGGAAGTGGAGCTTCTGCCACATTCCTTCAGTCAGGCTTATGCTGAGGACCACATCTAACTTTGAGGGAGGCTGAGAAAGTAGCCTGTACCTGGGAAGAGGAGGAGAATGTAGACTTGGGTGGGCAGTTAATAGTCACTGCCACTCAGGGTCAAGGCTTGCTAAAGAGTCGCTTTGAACTTAAACCTTCAGGGATGGCGGAGCTCTGGGGGAGAAGCCGACGCCATGGGAAGGCGCAGTCCTCACCATCATCTTTTATAATGGTTGGCATCAGCTAGGGACTTGGGCCTTCGTGGGGAGACGAGGCTCAGGTCCCATCATTGCCGCCTCCACCCTAGGTGCTCACGGAGGAATTCCGCCTGAATTACTGCCACCTCTGGCAGTCTCTGATCTGGACTGACATGAAGAGAGTGAAGGAGTACAGCCAGCGCCTGGGAGCCGGGGATCTCTACCCCTTGTTTGCCTGCATGCTGACAGCGCGGTCATGGAACTCAGTCAACAGAGGCATCAGCCAAGCTCCCGTCACTGCCACTGAGGTAGGGGGCCCCTCCAGGCCCTGCCTCTTCCTAAATGCAGAAGGCAGGGCTAGAGGTGGCCTATGGACCCCTACCAAGTAGGGTCTGAGAGTCTAGGCTGGTGGGCTACGTGTGGGGGGAGGGGAAGAATTGGGACTATATTGGATAAGAAGAGAAAGACAAGGAGAAATAGTGCCCTGGATGGAAGGAGGGAAAGGCGGTGATATCTCCCTAGCTCCCCTTCAAGCCTTATCAGTCTGGAGGAAACAGGGGCACACTGACCATAATAACTCAGACTTCTGTAGCTTTAGCTCTGACCTACTCACACTAGATTCCAGGCCTTCCCCAAGTTCTCCCACAGGACCTCTGGGAATCCTTAGGGACTGTCTCTTAAATAAATCTGGCAGTACTGCTGTGTTCTGCCTGGCACTGTCTCCCATCACATGGCTCCTCTAAGGCACCAAGCTGAGATAGCCCTTCACTACTCAGGTGGCACTCAAGCAGGGGTGCTCATCTCATTGTCTGCAGACTTTTTTTTTTTTTTTTTTGAGACGGAGTCTCGCTCTGTCACCCAGGCTGGAGTGCAGTGGCATGATACCGGCTCACTGCAACCTCCGCCTCCTGGGTTCAAGTGATTCTCTTGTCTCAGCCTCCCAAGTGGCTGGCACTACAGGTGCATGTCACCATGAGTGGCTAATTTTTGTGTTTTTAGTAGAGACGGGGTTTTGCCATGTTGACCAGGCTAAAGCAGCTTTTTTGTGGTCACTATTTGTAGCTCATTTCTCCATTTCACCTAGACAAGAGTCTCATGGAGTCTGGGCCAGGAGACATATTGGGAGCACCTCCACCGGGTACTCAGACCCACCTCTGCTTGCACAACAGAGGCTTACGGGGGTGAGCTCATTCCTCCTGGCTCAAGGTGGGCTCCCTTCCAGGGGGCTTTTCCAGCCTCCCGGAATTGGCTGCTGTCTTCACAGCCTATTAATTTGCCAGACCCACTTAGACTTGCCTGAATCCACGTGGGGGATGGCCTTGGGCTCCAGCTGAGGCCCCTGCTCACCACCAGGGACAGGGTTCTGCCTGTGCAGTCAGAAAGCCCTGGGCTCCAGTGCCTCTTCTTCCTTACAGTGTGACCTTGGGTGGTCCTCATCACCTCTTTGAGCCTCAGGGTAAGCTGCTTACCCTGTAAGCTGCTTTGTGATAGGCAGCTTTGGGAATGGCTAGATCCAGATTCTCAAATTATGTCATCAAAGAGGCCATCCATCCCCATCTCTTGGCTCCACTTTCCTCCAAGTTGACATCTTTCTCCAGCAAGCTTGGTGGCAAAGATGGCCACCAACTGCTCTTGGCTTCTACAGCCTTGAACTCCATCATCTCTAAGGAAGAGAGACAATTTTCCTCTTTTGTAAAATAGGGATGGTAAGGATAATTTCCACTTTATTGATAGTGCATGTAAAGTGCCTACCCACAGCTCCTGAAGTTTGTTCATTTGACAAACATTTGTTTTTGTGGGGCCGTGGGTACGAGCTGAGGATCCCATGATGAACAGGCAGACAGGCCTTCTGTGTAATTTACACTTTGCTTGAGGGAGACAGACAGTAAACAAGTGGACAAACAGGTGAATGGAATAATTGCAGGTTGTCAGTGCCCTGGACGAAACAAGTAGGGTGCTGTGAGGAGGGGGACGGGACAGCACTCAGAGAAGACCTGACTTGAGGAGGTGACATTTCAGCTGAGGCCCAAAGGACAGGAAAGGCACCAGTTCCAGGAGGAGCTTGAAGGACACATTCTAGGCACACTCAAGCCAAGGGGAAAGAAAGCATTTGGTATGGCCGAGTGTGGTGAGGAGGATGGTGGGATGAGAAGTTGGAGGAGTCGTGGGCAGGAAGATCATTACGCAGGGTCTTAAAAGCCATGGGAAGATGTTCCAATTAATTCTCAGCACAAAACAAAGCCCTTGATAGGCTCTGAGCAGGAGGGGGAGAGGCCCAGACTTGTTCTTTTTAAGTATCTCTCTCGAGTGGGGTGAGATGAGTGGTGGCGATCATTTAGGAGCCTGGGCCAGGACTCCAGGTTGAGAGATGACAGGGGCTCAGGCTACACTGGTGGCAACAGAGATGGAGAGAGGCAGTGGAGTCAAGGTGTGTTTTGGAAGTAAGATTGAGTTTCTGTAGGACTGGATGTGGAGAGGAGGGAAAGGGCAGGGCCAAGGCTGCATCATAGCTTTTTGGGATGAGTTTTATGGTGGGGGATGGTGGTACTTCCTATCATAGGGAAGACTGGGAAGGACATATTTGGGGTGGGGTAGTCAATGGTTCTCTTGAACAGGTAGAGATGTCATGGGCATCTGGTGTTCACAGAAGAGGTCTAGACTTAAAATACAAATTTAAGAGTCTTCAGGGTAAGGTGATATTTAAAACCTCAGGCCTGGATGAGGTCACATGGCATCTACTAGGTTCTCAGTATATATTTGTTTTTATTAACTAAGATAGAATTTTGTTTTTGCATTCTTTTTTTATTTTCTTTTTATTTCTTTTCTTTTCTTTTTTTTTTGAGACAGAGTCTCACTCTGTTGTCTAGGCTGGAGTGCAGTGGCTCAATCTTGGCTCACTGCAACCTCTGCCTCCCGAGTTCAAGCGATTCTCCTGCCTCAGCCTCCCGAGTAGCTGGGATTATAGGCATGTGCCACCACACCCGGCTAATTTTTATATATTTAGTAGAGACGGGGTTTCGCCATGTTGGCCAGGATGGTCTCGATTTCCTGACCTTGTGATCCACCCACCTCGGCCTCCCAAAGTGCTGGGATTACAGGCCTGAGCCACCGCACCCAGCCTGTTTTTGCATTCTTATTCGTTGATAAAGACTCAGTTTAAATGCCAGTCCTTTGAAAAAGTCTTGTCTCTTCCAGAAAGCCTATTCTTACCACCTTTGCCAAAAGTCACCCCTTAATACTTGTATTGCTAACAAGGCAAGTACACCATGCCCCTTGTAGTTATTTGTCTGCACACCTTAACTCTCCAACTATGTGGTGAGCACTTGGAAGGCAAAGACCCCGTCTTGTATATCTTTTTAGAAGATCCCTGCCATCCTGGGACTGGGTCTGGTAGAGGGACATTTGTGAACGTTCTTGAGACACTTACTCCATTTGCTCACTTTGGACAACCCAGATAGATCATAAAGTTAGCTACTCCAGGTCAGCCTGATCTCAGGGATCCACAGGCTTGGTCTTTCTGAGCCCTGCTGTCATTGAGGATTAGGGAAACCTCCAACATTATATGAGGGAGAATGTTTTCCCCAACTAACCGTAGCTTAAACATAAGGAATTTGTTCTCTCTCCTACAAGAAGCCTGGAGATGGGTGGGTTAGCTCAGTGGATCAACAAATTCAGGTCCCCGGGCTAACTCATGATTCTCTGGGCTGTCCATCACAATTCCAAGATGACTGTGGTGGTTCCAAGCTTTACATCTTCATTCAGTGGTCGCTAGAGGCAGGAATAAGGTGCTAAGTCTCCTTATATAATTTAAGAGCAAGAAAACCTTTTCTAGAAGTGTCGGCCTCCCTCCAACAACCTCCTCTTGCCTCATTGGCTGAAGCAGGTCACATGTCCCTGCCTAAACCAGTCATGTGGCAAGGGGCTGAGAGCTCAGAGCCAGCCCTGGCTGAACTCAATCCAGATTCTCTGCTGGGGCCAGGGAGGGGCTACACCTCCCAAGGGAGCATGACCCAAGGGATCAAGTGAACACTTTTTTTTTTTTTTGAGACAGAGTCTCACTCTGTTGCCTAGGCTGGAGTGCAGTGGTGTGATCTCAGCTCACTACAACCTCTGCCTCCCAGGATCAAGCAGTTTTCCTGACGCAGCCTCCCGGGTAGCTGAGACTACAAGTGTGTGCCACCATGCCTGGCTAGCTTTTGTATTTTTAGTAAAGATGGGGTTTCACTATGTTGGCCATGCTGGTCTCAAACTCCTGACCTCGTGATCCACCAGCCTCAGCCTCCCAAAATGCTATGATTACAGGCGTGATCCTGGGTTCTTTTAATAGAGGAGATTGGGGTGAAGACTCAGGTAGGTACCCAACAGGGTCTACTGCAGACACCCACCATCAGGATTTGTCTTAGCTGGAGACTCTGCTGCTCTGAGAACTGTCTCCCGGTAGTAGCCTGGGTGAGTGAAGGAGCTGAGAGGCTGTTGCCAGGCCAGTCCTGACCATGCTGGGTTGGGGGGTCCCTGCGGTGAGCAGGGGACTTGTAGCTGTGGCCGCAGGCACCCCTTGAAGTCTGGCTTTGTGTTGAGATGTGCCAGCCTGATAGCTCCTGCCTGAGAGGCATTTCAAGACATTTCAACTTTTGCAGTGACTCTGTTCTCAACAGCCCACACGTGCTCCTGAAAGCACTGAGAGCCCTGCTGCTTCAGAGAGGAGAGGGGTGGTAAAGCCTTTCCACAACACGCCAGGTCTCCTCATTATGACTTGGCTACTGATTGCTTCCTCAGACCTTATCTCTGGTGACCCTCCCAGTGCTGCTGGGAGGTGGGCACAAAGGGTATTGGCATTCCCAGTGTTTGGGTGAGGACACTGAGTTGAAACAGATTAGAGGACTTACCCAGAGTCGTGGAGTCCTGTGGTGAGGTGAGGAGGTGTGGTATTGCCAGATGGTGAGGGCACAGGCTCGGGAGCTGGACTGCCTGGGTTCACGTCCCATCTCACCATTTACTCGCACTTAACTTCTCAATGCCTCTGTTTCCTCATCTTAAATGGGGATGATACGCTGATAGGGTTGTTGTGAGGATTAAATCAATTAATACATGCCAAAATTGTCAAAGTGCCTGGTTTCTTTAGTAAATGCTCAATATATGGTGCTTATCGTCACCATCATCATCATATCTACGGAGACTGAAAAGGGGTCAGAACCACACTTATATTTAGGATTTGGGGCAGTTATCTGCCTAGAGCTGTGAAGAGTGTAGGGACAGGGATCGTGGGGAGGCCAGACCCCAAACTTAAAGACCAGATGGGTCAAGGGCTGTGGCGATGACCAGCATGAAGGGCTAATCCTGGATCCTAAGCCAGGGCATCAGACCTTGGGCCACAGGTGGGATGAGACTGGCTCCCATGCAAGGACAGTGGTAAGCAATGGAGTGTGAGCAGCAGCATGGTCTGGCGGGGTGCAGGCTATGGGGCAGGACTTTGGAGTTGGGTTGAAGTCAGGTCAGCCTGAGCTAGGCTTGGAGGGGTAGGAAACCAGACTCAGCTGGCACTGGCTTCTGGGGGTCCTTCCAGACCTGATCTAAAATTGGTGGCCAGTGAAAAAGCCTTGGAGAATAACCTGGTCTCTCTCAGTGTATCCTGTGTCAGATCCAGCACTTTCCTAGAAGTTTGGCTGAGACATCCCCTTCCAGGTTTGTCAGGCTATACAGCGCCTTGTGCTAGACTTTTCTATTGGGAGTGCTCCTAGCAGTGCCAAGACAGCGGTGCCTGAAGCTCCCTCCTGGGACTTCTTTGCAGCCCTCTGGTCCCAGCCTGCCAGACCCCTGCCACCCCTGGCCCCACTACCCATACCAACCATCTGTTTCCGTCTCCCCATTGCTGCCTCAGGACTTAGAGATTCGCAACAACGCGGCCAACTACCTCCCCCAGATCAGCCAGCTCCTTAACCACGTGCCACGCCAGATGCTGCTCATCTTGAAGACCAATGACCTGCTGCGTGGCATCGAGGCCGCCCTGGGCACCCGTGCCAGCGCCAGCTCCTTTCTCAACATGTCACGTTGCTGCATCAGAGCGCTAGCCGAGTGAGTGTGGGCTTCTCCCTCTCCTCCCCTCCTAGCCCCCTGGCCTGCCCCAGGGGTCCTGCTTTTGCTGCCACCTTTCCCCACCAGTCTACAGGGCCCTGCCTGAGCTTCCAAATCTCCAGATCTCCCTGCAGGAAAAGTTAAAGTTTGAAATGTTTTCTGAGAGTCTCAGCCCCATCCAAGTATCCCATGTTTGAGGACAGGAAGCCCTGGTGTGTATCTCTCCATTAATTGGTCCTGGAACTTGTCAGCCAGGCCAGTGCTCTTTGTCCTGTAGGTGAGAGTGTGACTCAGGTTCTCTTGATCTCAGATCTATTTATTTATTTAATTTATTTATTTTCTTTTTTGAGAGAGTCTGACTCTGTCCCCCAGGCTGGAGTAGAGTGGTGTGATCTCGGCTCACTGCAACCTTCATCTCCCGAGTTCAAGCGATTCTCCTGCCTCGTCTCGAGTCGTTAGAATTACAGGCTCCTACCACCACGCCCAGCTAATTTTTATATTTTAGTAGAGACGGGGTTTTACCATGTTGGCCAGGCTGGTTTCGAACTCCTGACCTCAAGTGATCCACCTGCCTTGGCCTCCCAAAGTCCTGGGATTACAGGCGTGAGCCACCATGTCTGGCTTCAGATCTTTTTAGATGCCTCAGCACCTTTGGGCATTCATGAGGAAGAGAAGTGTGCTTCCTCAGGGAGCTGGTTCCAGAGGAAAGAGGGTTTCAGGCTCTATTACTGAGTGTGACGAATACGTTGGAAGGGCCACACTCTGGCTGATTGTTCTCACTCAAGAGAGGAAGCTTAGATGATGCTCAATTCCATGCTAGGAATGGACCATTCTGGGAACCTATATCATGTGCCCACTATCAAATACTGAATTAGTTTACAGCATAATATACTGCACACTGAAAGGGCCAACTTTGATGTATTCTTCCTCTGAGGGTTCAGGAAATGAAGTCTTGAATAGGTCATCATCATAAACACCAGATTTCATCATGTCCTTTTGTGGGTGCAGAAGGGATTGAGCTGGGCTGAATTCATAATGGCCTTAGCCTCCCAGGACCACCTGACCAGGTTTCCAAGTGATTCTTATCCTTAGAAAGTTTGGAAAGGCTTTGACTATTTTTGAGTTTGGGGGATTCTTGGTTGGCATATATTTACCATGCTTTTGGAGAAAGAAACATTGGAATGATCTACCCAAATGGGTTTATTAGACCTTTGATGCCCTGTGAAACAACTGCTTTTATTTATCCCACTTATTTGAAAAACTCCTTTGAAATATTTGAGTTCCTCTGGCTCCTGATTGGGTAGTGGTATAGTATGATCCTGTATCCAAGAGAGGTCCGTAGGGGCAGGGAGCTGGTGAGTTGGCCAAAGCCACCATCTTTAGTTTTTCTAAATGATACAGAGCTGGTGTTTCTTGCCTCTTTATTTCTTTTCTCCTTCTTCTTTCCCTTCTTCCAGGCACAAGAAGAAGAATACCTGTTCATTCTTCAGAAGAACCCAGATCTCTTTCAGAGAGGCCTTCAACTTATGGCAGATCAACCTCCATGAGCTCATCCTGCGTGTGAAGGGGTTGAAGCTGGCTGACCGGGTCTTGGCCCTAATATGCTGGCTGTTCCCTGCTCCACTCTGATTGGAATTGCTCTCCCTGCCCCATTCTGATGTCTTTCCACTCCTCAGCCCCTCATCCTGCCTCCACCCAGCTGCTCCATTTTTGCCACATGGTGGCCTGCAGCCCCAGAGTCACTGTCCATGTCACCATCCTCCTCCTCTTTTGGAATCCTCTCTGCATACTGTGGCCCTTATCTCAGGGCCCACAGGCTGAACTGTGGCATAGCTCTCTCTTCTTCTCCAAGAAGACTCAGCAGCCTACATTCCCACTCCTGGTATGTGCCATTGGGTTGGATGTCCCCACTACTTCCATTAACCCTTCCCATTGCCAAGACGTGCCACGGGTGCCACTGGGGGCACACTGAACTTGTAGGGAGTTTGATTTTGTTGGAGGTGAACATGGTCTCTGAACTTGACAGAGAACAGCTTCCCTTTCCTAGCCATGTCACCCTCCAAAGGAAGTCACACCTCAGCGAGGTGGTTTGGCATCTGGGGCCGACTCCATTGCAGCCATGAGCTCACTGCTGTCAGTGACCTTTGGTGTTTTCTGTACTGTTTCAATAAAAACTCCTTCAAGGTTCCAGGGTTTGTCCATCATAACTCACTTGACCCCAGGCACATGCCCTTCCAGAGTGTGCTCATGGTCCTCGCCAAGGGCTTATGGTTCCTCTTGGTTGCCGCTTCCTCAGGGTTTCCCAGGGAGATCTAGGGAACAGAAGGCCCGGGGCTGTTTGGTGGGATTTGTATTCTAGGTTGGGAGTTCGCCCACAATGCCCATTAGGTCAGAGTGGACCTGAATTGAATATTGGTGTGATCTTCTGCCTGGCTTCTTGCTCCTATAATCCTTCCAACCGGTGGGGCCACTTCAACTGTGGGGCTACTTCCTGCTTCTTGGGGGTTTCTCTCACCTTCCAAGACTCTGAGACTCTGGTTAGAGGAGTTAAGCAGCCCAGGGCCAGGAACTCAGAGGCTCAGCTGAAACCTTGCACCTTGGTTTTCTGTGACCTGAGCACCAACCTTGTTCTACTGTTTCCTGACTTATCCCTTTGGTTCTCATTCAGTGGCCCCAGTTTTAGGCCTGGAATTCTACTTGTCTCCCCGCAGTCCTTCTGGAGACCTTAGTCCTCTTGCTGAAACCTCCGTCACTGTGGCTAGGTTTTCACTTGGAAACTTCTGTGTTTCTACCCCATTGCTTGCTGCCAGCGCTGCCTCTCCTCCCAGCCTGGTTGTCTGCTTCTGTTTCTTGGACATCCCTAAACTCCTGCTCTAATTCCCATGTCTTTGTCGTTGGCAGGTCCTACTGTCTGCTCTCACGGACAATAATTGTGTTTGAGCCTCTCCGATCTGACTTCACCCAATTCACAAGGGCAGAAAAAATCCTGAATTTGAGCCTAATTTTCTGTACTCTTTATTCATAGTACAGCAAGCAGATTTTTCAGTGATCAGCGACAATTCACAATCCTTTTATTTCCCGAAAGAATTAATTGTTCTTAGTGACCAGTTGGATGCACCCAGGGACCAGAGAGTATAATTTGCAATATCTGATTATTAATCGTGAGGATGTGTGCTGCATAGTCTATTTTATGGTGTCTTTTATAGCCACTGAAGTAAATATAAATGTCCTTTCTGTTCAAGGTCATGGTTACTTGCTTTTTAGTTTGGGTATGTGTAATGGTTGGCTTCCTACTGTCCTGGGATCTAAAACATCAGCATGGTGCCAGTGGGCCCAGCACCCAGAACAGTTAGCTGGGGTGAGCAGAGAGGCAAGAAGAGTTGGGAGTATGGGGCTATGTGAAGATAGCAAGGAAGGAGGTGGATGTTTACTGAGTACCTGCCATATGTGAGAGCCTGTGTTAGGCTCTGCAAATATATTACATCATTGAGTTGTCCCATCAGCTCTGTGATGGAGGGGTTATTAGTCTCATCTTACAGAGGTGGGGACCAAGGCTCAGAGAGGTTTAGTAATTTGCCTGTGGTCACACAGGCCTGTGGTTTTACATTTTTTTCTTTTAAATTCTACAGGCTGTAGAGATGGAATATATTTGCTTCTTGGGCTGTCTTACATGCCTGAGTTTGGGTCTCAAATGTCCTGAATTCAGAGAAAATTGGATTTACAGGAGTAGGGTAAGAGGAGGGAGTCGATGGGTAAAGAAGGCAAAAGCCCTGGAAGATGCAGACTACCACCAGATGTTACCCAGGGCCTAAGACAGGATGGACCTGGACCACTACATTTCTGCAGTGCAGTTCTGACACTAACCAGCTGCAGTTAGTGCAAACTCTGCAGTCTTGAGGACACAGTTCCCCATCAGACTGCCCTTACTTCAGCCACAAGCTTCAGGTGTGGGGGCCCCAGACCACCTGTACTTCTGACCAACTACAAATTTGGGGATTCCCATAGCCCCCTCGTGTTTGATAGTTTGCTAGAATGATCCACAGAACTCAGGAAAGCACTCTACTTATAATTACAGTTTTAATATAAAGGATACAACTCAGGACCAGCCACATGAGCCACACAGGGGAGATCTGGGAGGGTCTTGAGTGCAGAACTTCCATGTCCTCTCCCCACATCAATGTGTTCACCAAGCTTCAGTGTTCAGAGTTTTTATTGGGGTCCTATTACATAGGCATGATTTATTGAATCATGGACCACATTAAATGAACTCAGTCTCCTGTTTCTTTCCCCTCCCCAGAGGAGGCTGGGGTAATCTTGCCCCCATTCAAAGTCATCTAGTTAGCATAAACTTAGGTGTGCCACAAGGGGCACACCATGAATAACAGACATTCCTATCCCTTGGGAGTTTCCAGGGATTTAGAGGAACCAGCACAAAGACCAGGCAAATTCTTCAACATTTGACAACCACTGTGGTGAGTTCTTGACTTATCCTGGGGCTGAGGTAAGCTTTTATTGACTGGCTGCTGTCCTGGGCCTTCTATTTGGCTTGGGTGGAGTCATCTCTGGAGTTCAAATCTGTAGGAGAACCCTCTCTCCCGGATCTTGTTCTGCAGTTCAGAAACACTCGGGTGAACTTTGCCCTGATCCCTTCTCTCTCCTGTGGAATTTGCCATGAGGGTTGGCCATTGATTTGGGTTTGGTGCTTTTCAACAAAATTCTGCAGCTTCCCTCACCCCTCAGCAGTGATAATGTCTCTCTGCTAGGCATCACCAGTTTTGATGAATGTTTTCTCATAACATGTGGGTACTTCTTATTTAACCTAGTCATTGGCCTCTTTGATTTAGGCAACATAGCTATTATTCCTCCTCCCTCTTCTTAGGTGGAGGGAAGAGGAATTCTGACTCTGGCCTATTTGGTCCAGAGCCTCTCAGATATGTAAGTGTAAATGTCCTGGCTTATGGTACAGTGCTTATAAGCATGCAAGCATTTAGAATTGTACTATTTGGCTGGGCATGGTGGCTCACACCTGTAATCCCAGCACTTTGGGTGGCCGAGGGTGGATCACGAGGTCAGGAGTTCGAGACCAGCCTGGCCAGTATGGTGAAACCCCATCACTACTAAAAATACAAAAATTAGCCAGGCATGGTGGTGCGTGACTTTGCTGTGGAAGCAAAGTCTATTATAAAAATACAAAAATTAGCCAGGCATGGTGTTGTGCACCTGACGCCTCCCCAGCTACTCTGGAGGCTGAGGCTGAGGCAGGAGAATCACTTGAACCCGGGAGATTGCAGTGAGCCGAGACTGCCACTGCACCCCAGCCTGGGTGACAGAGCAAGACCTCATCTCAAAAAATAAAAATAAGAAATAGAATTGCACCATTCTTTGTTATTTTCAGGAGTGTTGAAATCTGTGTATTTAAAAAGCTGCACATGCTCTCATCTCTTATGAGGTGCTGCTTAGTTGTCAGGTTAACTTCTGCAGCATTCCTAACCTACTCTCAAGATCAGAGATGGTCTGTTTCAGCATTACAGGATGCCCTGGGCCCTACTGCCACAGCTGCAGGGCTCCAAAACTGCAAGCATCTAATATCATCTCAGAAAACAAAGTGGCTCCAAGAGGCACCCCAGCAAATCCTGGGCAATGGAATTTGTTGGGAGGTTTGGAATAGCCCTCAGTTTAGGCAAATGTGAGTTTTAAATGGAGTCACACACAGTGGCACTTGGGACTTAAGTCGTTAGGAAGAGTGTAGCCACGAGGAGCTAGGATCCAAGTTGGGAGCTGGTGATCGAGTATAATCTCAACAGGATGAAAGAACCACAGAGGGTGGTGTCTTCCTGGCAGCCTTCCCCAGTGTAGCAGTGCTATTTCTTGGGCTAGATCAGGAGGGCCCATATTTAAAGAGAGGTCCTGAATGCTGAGTGACCGGGTACCACTGCCACTGGTAACTGGTCAAATGGGAAGACCAGCCCCTCCCCCCGCCCCCGGCAGCCCACCCCCGCAAGCCTTAAGTCCACAAAACATTTCGGTAAAAGCTGTTTGGGGCTGGGTGTGGTGGCTGACGCCTATAATCTGAGCACTTTGGGAGGCTGAGGTGGGTGGATCACTTGAGGTCAAGCGTTTGAGACCAGGCTGACTAACATGGTGAAAACCCGTCTCTACTAAAAATACAAAAATAATTAGCTGGGCATGGTGGTGGGTGCCTATAATCCCAGCTACTCAGGAGGCTGAGGCAGGAGAATCGCTTGAACCTGGGAGGTGGAGGTTGCAGTGAGCCAAGATGGCGCCATTGCACTCCAGCCTGGGCAACAAGAGTGAGAAGCTCTGTCTCCAAAAAAAAAAAAAAAAAGAGCTGTTTGGTAAGGACCCATTTGTTCAAAAAGCCTCTGCCCTTCTTCCTCTTTTTCCTTTTTGTCCCCTTCCTCCTTGCTTCCTTCTCCCTGTCTCTCCCACTCTTTCCTTCCTGGGAAGCAATGTCTATTATAAGGCTGCACAGGCTGCCTTGGTTTTCACTCCTTTACTGAAGGAAGGAGAGGATCAGCCCTCAAAAGAGTAAATGTTAAACCCTGGGCTGTATCTGCCATGTCCTTTTTCTTGCAGTCAGTACCTCCTGGCCTGGTTTGCTTGGTTTCTGCAGAAGCTACCTCAGAACTGCCATCAGCTAGGTAGGACACCCTCCCAGCCAGGTCGCTGTGTCCCTGGCCAGCACTGCTGGGGGCAGTGAAGGCTCTTTCTGCCTAGTTCTGCTTTTGGCTTGATTATTGCAGAGTTCCTCTGATGTTTGCTCCTATTTTTCACTTTCCTGTGTGCGAGAAGAAAGGATAGACTCTTAAGACTGGTAAAATGATGGATATTAAGCCTCCCTGACCCTTGCCATTTCAGCTCCTATTTCCTCATTCCCTCTCCCTGCACGTTCATTCTAGAGCAATCCCTCTCAGATTTTCATGCATAAATGCATAACTTGGGATCTTGTTAAAACGCAGGTTCTGACTCAGTGAGTCTGGGATGAGGCCTGAGGTTTTTGCATGTTTAACCAGCTCCCAGGTGATGCCGATGCTGCTGGTCCATACTTTGAGTTGCAAGGATCTAGGTCAGTGGTTCTGAATGTATGTTCTCAGGACCAGCAGCACACTCATCACCTGGGAACTTGTTGAAACATGCAAATTATCAAGCCTCACTCCAGAATCACTGAA